CCTCCAGCTGACTTGAATTCAAGAGATACTGCTATATTGGCAGATAATGTATGGTTCTATATTTAATCTTGTATCCTTAGCACTCAATGTAATAAGCAAATGCTATTTGATATATGGAGTGGTTCATATAAGTGGGACCTGAAGTATTATTAATATTTTGCCCCATCACCCCCATCCCACTTACTGATCCAAAGAAAATAAGGCTGTACAGGTTAAACAGGGCACAAATAGGATCAATCGGGGTGGTGTTTTTTTTTAAACCTCTTTGTCCTTTGTAAGAGAGCCATGGCAAAGGGTGCAGAGGTGTTTCCTTCCTGCAAATGTGCAGAGCAGTGATCTGTCCAGAAGAACCCATCTATGATGTCATTGTAGGCAAATTCTGTTCTGAACTACACCCAAAGTTAGTACTAACTCTGGTTTCAATGTTTGTGGCCCTCTATCCAAGAATAGAACATTCTAAGTTTTAAAAGGCTTTTACAAGGACCATTTTTAGGCAGGCATTTCATAAGACTTTGTCCTCCTTTCCTTCATTTAATGCAGATACAATGAATGATGTTTAGTTCAGTATCTTATCCTGTCATTATGATCTCGTTTGCTAGGAAACCAGAGTTCATTTTGTGATGTCACACCTGCGCAAGGTAGGTCTCACTGTGATGTTCTAGAACTCCTTACTGAAGCTCCCTACAAGCTAGCATCATTTTTTGTAGGCCTGCTACTGCCTCACTGGCAAGGTTTGACTAATAGCATAAATGGCTACCACTGAAAAAAACCATCTGAGTGAGAAGAGAGAATTGGGCATGGAGTTTCCTGCTGCACAGGCTCATCACCTTTTAGCTGAAGATGAAGCGGTTCATTCTGCAATCTCAATTTCATCTACACCTTTGCATGATAAAACAGCAGCTGGTGACTCGGCCTTGAGGTCTATGATAGAAGAAAATGCCTTTCAGGCTTTGAGTGATGGACCCTGGGCAAAAAGACCCCGGCTTGCTCTCTCTGATGAGGGTTCTCTTGAAGACAATGATTTTCTGTCTCTTACCTTCCCAAAGAAATTGTGGAAAATTGTTGAAAGTGATCAGTTTAAATCACTGTGGTGGGACGATGATGGGAATTGTGTAGTGATAGACGAAGAACTTTTTAAAAAAGAGGTCCTGGAAAGGAAAGGACCATTGCGCATCTTTGAAACTGACTGCATGAAAAGCTTCATTCGTCAGCTGAATCTCTATGGCTTTAGCAAAATGAGACAGAATTTCCAACGGTCTGCCTCCCTTGTTGAATTTTTAGCAGAAGAAAAAGCTGCTTACGCATTTAGCAAGGTAAGATCTCAGCATGGTTCTTAAAAAAGGTAAAGATGGCTTAAAGTTCATAGTCCCCATGCCTTCAGAACTGTAAGTTCAGTCATTTTTCCAATAATGCAGTGCAGAATGGAAACAGCTACTGCAGGAATGGCGAAAAGGGAATGATCTGCCTCCAGGACAGGAGAGAAAATAGCCAGCTAGCAGTTTTTTTTCACTGCAAGCTGCAGTCTGTAATTAGCTAGTAAAATATAAACTGATGTAAACATTTCTAACATCAAAAAAAGCCTTTGGCACAGAAAAAAATATTTCTACAGACTGAAAACAGCATTGAACAGCTGCCACAATGAATCAACAGGGTGGCTGTGGGTGAGCATCATTTCCCGCACTTGAAGGAAGCTTGTGAGAATGAGGACAAATACAAAATGCTCATTGTTCTTTGGGAATAGAATAAGTCTTGGGCAAAATGCCTTCTCTGAATATCTGAATTTCAGTGGCTTTGACATTGCAAATGCAAGTTCATCTCTGTTGACATTAGCATGTAGCAGCTTTGAAGTAGGTTCACACATAACATTAACCTATGGTTTATTTAACCCAAGGCTTCTTGAATTCTAGGTTGTCATGCCATAAGAATTATGGCAAAAATACATGGTTTGTTATCTATGAACAACTCAGAGAAAGAATCATTTGTTGTTGGGTTGTGAACTGTGAGTTGTCATTATTTGTGAACTTATATCTGAACTTGGAAAACCATGGGTGGTTTTGCAAGGCTGCAGACATAGTGGGCAAGAGCAGTTAAAAATAGCCCTTCTATATGCCTGCACTCCTTTTGAGATACAGAGAAGGAACAGGTGCATGAGAAGGTAAACAAGCCAGGGATTAAAAAAATAAGGGTTTCTTTGATTGTCTGGCAAATGAACCCAAAGTATGACAATAACCAATGGGACAAATAAGCCATGGATAAGCGGTATGTATGAAGCAGGTCCTTAAGTTGCTGTATTTAGGTTAAGGAAAATACGACTTACTGGATTGGGCTAATCCAGGGGTGGGCAATTAATTTTCCTATGGGGCCACATGAGAAACTTCGACAGTTGTTAAGGGCCGGACCAATACACTTATAGCTCTGCTCAATATATAGCTCTATAAAAACAGTAAATGAAACATTACAATGATACAATGAAAATGAGCACAGAACAACACTAATGAATATTCACAAAAACATTAGCATTACATGAAAAGCAATAAATTCAATTTTACTTATATAGCGCAAATTTACAATAATCTCTGTAATCTCCCAGCGCTTAACATAGTAGGGTACATAATTTGTTACGAATTATAACAAAACAGAGAAACAGAAAACTCAACAATCCAAGTTGCCTTTGGATTCCCTATAAATGCATCCAGCTTTGTTTGTTTGTATTACCTCAGTTCTTTTTTTTTGTTGTTGTTCAGTGAGAGAAATCTAGTCTGTTTTGCGCTTGAACGACAATATATATTTGCATTGACTTTTAATTTGCCAGTGACCTCATGCAGGCCAGTCGGGGTCAGCCATCGGGCCGGATGTGGCCCACGGGCCGTACAGTACAATGCCCAGGTCTGGTCTAATCATTGAAGACAGTATTGTCTCAGTCACATCCATTTACAACTGAAAAGCTCCTGATTTATATTACAGTGATTGGCCAACATAACTCTATTGCAATCCATAATGTTATGTTTACTAGCACATTGTTTCTTTCATAATGATTTTCTCAAGTTTCATAGTTGTTGCTTATTTTAAAATGTATTCTTTTCATTTTTGATGTGGATTTCCTTGTCTGGTAAAGAGTGAATTTGTGTATTAGCCAGTCAAGCATCTCATTAAGATTGGTTATATGCTTAACACTGAGATGTACTAAATACAACAAGAAAGGGAAGAAGGAAAGAAAGATCTGGAAGGACTACTGGAATAGTCAAGGTTACAGAACTAAGTTACTTGAATAGCTGAGTATTCATATCCAGGTCAAGAAAGCAAAATAACCAAAACACCATGATTAAAAAGATGCAGGACAATATCCAGAAGGAAAGTGATGTGAGTTCTTTGTGCAAATGGGAATTGCTTAAGAATGTTACAGTGATCCTTATTTTATTGATATCATTTATACATCACCCTTTAGTCAAAAAGACTCCCAGAGTGACTTAGGAGACAATCTTGTGCAACTCTGGACAGAAAAAAAAGCCTGCAATGTGGCTGGCTCAGGCATGGTGGCTGTTGTAAGACTTTTCTTCTCTCTGGACTTGCAAAGGATTGCATCTTGATAATCTAATTTAAGAGATAAAACACCACCAATAAGGGCTAGGGCAGAGAGGTTAGCTTACTGTTTTGGGCAACTAGATTTAGCAGGCAAACACAAACACTGCAGCAGAAGAGACTGCAAAAGGCAGAGGTCATTTAATATCCATGCTGTCTTCCTCTTACACACTGGGTAAAGAGGTTTGCACCCGTGTATATCAGAGGACTCTTGGTTTTTGCAGTCTCGATAATCAAAAATAGAAAATTTGTTATAGGAAATCTCTGATAATAACAATGTTGTGTATAATGCACTCTGATGTAATTCAAGCTAACTTACTAAGATCTCAGGCTTTGTGTCAGAAGTGAATTCATGAGCCTCTCTGAATATCTGAATTTCATCATTCTTAAAATAGATCCATTTAAACCAAAGGAACAAGTTGGTCATAACCAACTCGATCCCTTAATTTAAATGAGACAACTCTAAGCACAACTAAGTGTGGATCCAACCCATTAGATAACCATCCGAAGTGAAGTACTTTGAAACCCCATTGATTTCAATGAGAGAGATTTAAATATCATTCCTACTGAAACCATTGGGGCTTAAAAACATTTATGTTTGGTTGCATTGTGCCTGCTGAGTCAAAGCGTGCCTATCTGGATAAGAATCTGCTAGGGACACAAATGTGACTGAGATGAAGACGTTAAAATACAGTATTTATTCAAATTGCAAATATTTAGACTGTCAGTCAAACAGCATGAACACTTTTACCTTCCATGTGACAGAAAAAGCACAGTTCTTACCAAAGGATGATGAGTCATTGTTTCTGGACTGGTATGGGAATTTCAGCTTTAAATAAATGATGCAATGTTCAATGGTCCTTACTCTCAGGTAGGTGTGTGTAAGAATGTAACCTAAATGGCTTAGGCAAGTATAGAGAGAGGGCAGAGGAAACTTAGTTTTCTAACTGGAGTACTAGGCAGGTAAGAATTGTGTAATGCAAAGGCCATCTCATCTACATGACCAGGGACATTTGATTATGCCTTTGTTTAGCCAGAGGGCTCTGATTGAGTTGTCAATACATATTTTTCATTTGCTATAGAAGCCACTTTGTGCATGTTTCTTTGGGAGCTGTTTTATAAGCATCTGTTGTTCAACTGGTCTCACTGTTAGCATACTGGCTCAGTGAACTGTCACTACTTTTACCTCTTGCAATCTGATAATTTTCTTCCAGCGCAGAGTATGAATGCTGCCTCTTTGCTTTACAGACTCCATCCCTAAAACTAGATCTTCAGTTAGGACCAGGGTTACCACACACATACATGCTGCTCTCCAGGCTGGGATGATTTTGGAACCCAGCATTTTCTAGGGGGAGACAAGAAAGGATTGTTGATAACTATATACTAAATCGTTTTCCCTTCTCTGAGCATTTAGGTCATTTAACAGAAACGGAGTTCAAGTTGTATTCCACTGAAAATAAGTCCCTTAGCTGGTATCTTGCATTTGTTTTTATGAAATCTATGAGGGCCACATGGTCAACTTGTGTGCCTCCATCTTCCTTCAATTCTTTGCAGTAAAACCTATGTCAGAATAGATTTGGAAGTTCAAGCATGAGGGGATGACCACCATTACAGGCTGGATTTAATACAAGATGACGTATTTCAGGTCTATTGGGTTATAAATCCAGATAGAAAGATAAAAAGGAGACATCTTTAGTATTACATTTCTTCATTATTGCATTTGTTCTTGGAAGTTTAACTACATTTTCCTCCTGTGTTTTTATTCTAGTTACAGTTCTACCATAACCCCAATTTTAAGAGAGGTTGCCCTCACCTTCTTGCAAGATGCAAGAGAAGAGTTGGTATCAAAAATACACCACCTGCTGCTTTCTCGTTAGATGACGACTTCAGTGAAAGCTGCTTGAAGAGCAGGTCAAGAAGTCCCGAAGGTCAGTCTAGCCTGGGATCTGTTTCTAGGGAGAATGGGTTCCTTGCAACTTCCCCAAAGGACAAAATGCACAAATCTGGACTCCGAAAACCTACCATGACCAAGAGCCTTGCTGCAGCAGCAGCCCGGCTGAGAAGTGGATATGCTGCCTCACCTCCAACTCCGTTGAGGGCCTCTGAACAGGCAGCCCCGGAGGAGAATGACAGCAAAATAAACCAGCTGGCTCCCTTCCATTTGCCTCAGCCCGCCAGCCATGCTCGAGTCAACACCCATGAGATAGATTCGACCACCACTACCTCTGCAACCTCTTTGTATCATGTCATACCTCCCGTACCAAACAGCCCATTTGCACCGGTGATGGGGCTGCCAGCCTTCCCAACCATGTACCCAGACTTATCTGCCATGCAGGCTCATTGGGCCAGCTTACTCCCGTTCTGCAATCCATGGTTCTCGATGCCTATGATAGCCGCGGCTTCGGCCATTTCCATGTCAAGGTCCTCCCATCATCATCGAACTCCTTCATACCACCATTGCCCTAACTGCAACTGTACGTCAAACACCACCTCTGCTTCCAAAGGAGTTGGACCCAAAGCTACGGATTACACTGGGTACCATCGATGAAGCAAAGGGTAGACTGGGAAAATCCAGCCCTTTTTCAAAATAGGGAAATTCACCATGACATGGACTGAAGAATAAATGTCTTTCTTTCCTTTCTTCCTGTCTTATTTACCTAGGTCAACTTTGTATTTCTTTTATCATGGAACTTGATTCGAAGTAACTTGTTTGCTTCCATGATCTAGTTGTGAAATGTGTAGATTTAAGGAGAAAAAAAGTATAGTATAATGTTTGGATTTGGGTTGTTCATTTTCTGCTGTGGCTGCAGATGAAAACTGTAAGGCACAAACAGGTTTCCTTGTTACAGTCCCTTGTGCCTGGCAACCAAGGAAATAGTCCAAAGTGGATGGCAGCCATAAGTACTTATATTAGTTGGATTGGAAAGTCCATGTAATATATGAAAACCTCTTAATGTCTTTTATGATGGCATAAGGAAAGAAAATGTGTGCCCAGGATGGCTTTGTGAAAAAGTTTGAAGATCTAGAAACCTGAAAGTAAAAGCTGTCAGCAATACTTACTTTAAGAGGGGGTAGCATTTGAACCAGGAGCTTAGATTACCTCTATTATTTGATGCCAACCTTAGTTTTGATAAAATTGCTATGTGTGTTGTGGTTGGTGTTAAGTTTTGTTGTAAGCCACTGAAAGTAACTCTTTTACGGAACAAGATGCCAAGTTCACAGTGTCATCTGTTACATTACAGTCTAAGGGTCTAACAAGGTTGTGGGATAGCCACTAATGGTCTCAAACATTTTCAAGGGAGAATAGATATCTTGTTCAATGAAATAAGAAGTGGGGAGGGGAGGGGAGGGGAGGGGAGGGGAGGAAGGAATTTTCTTTGCCATGTGCTGGCTCTTCTTCAGTCTCCAAAAGGAAGAAAGCAATAAGGATAGGTCTGCATATTTAATCTTGTGCAGGACAAGACAATGTCAGGATGTGGTTGGTGGGGAAAAAAATAAAAGCAGTGTGTCAGGTATTCTAAACATCTTTTAAAGCCATTACTTCTATAACATTTACAAATGCAGTACTGTGTCAGTACTGCATCTTTGGTTTGGATCCAACATTTGTCATGCTTAGATTAAACCCACAGAACTCAATAGTCTTCTTTGCTTATAACTTACTAGTTTTGATGGGCAAGGAGTTTAAATGTGAACAGTTGTGTTAAAAATGCAAGTGAACAGAACAGCATGCAGAGAACTGCAGGCTGGAAGTGATTCCAAAGGTTCCTAATAGCTTTGCTCATCATTGTCCTGGAAAATATTTAGTATGATTGAGAAGCCAGCTCTGACCCTTTAAACAATTCAAACATGAAACTTTTATTATGAATTAAGATAGATTCTAGATTATCTGAGCTGCACTTGCTTTTGTACAGTGACTTTATCTCACTGTCTGAGAAACTATTTTGGTAATTTTCAGCCATTGCTTAGCAAAGTTGCCTTTTGTTTAATAGCAGGAGCCTCAAGGCTTGTTACTTCCCTACTGCATTTTTTGTTTTACATAATTTATTAGTTTTGTATGTAGGACTGTGGGCAGATGCTCAGTGATGAATTTACCAAAAAGAATCCCATTACAATGTAATAATAATATTGTGCATTCACTGTGTGAGGTCTAAAATGGATTTACAACCTGCTGGACTTACCTGTCCAGACACTCTGACTCTGTTAAGAGATCTAGCTAATTTGAGAAATGTACAAGTGGAGGAAGAACAAGAAATGTTTTGAAATAAAAATCAGTGCTTCTAATTAACCTATCAGCCATATGCTGTCTGACGCTTAGTTCTTCCTTTTTTGTGGAATAGTTCAGAAATGCACTGGATGTTGAATTCTAACTGATGAAGAACGATTTGTGGTAATGACTGAATGACAGATCTCATTTGTCAAATTCTAAATAGACAACAGTTGCCTGCTAAATCTTAATACATATGCAATAACAAAGTTTTCAGTTGCTCAAAACTACTCAGTATGAAGGAAAAGACTGAGAACATTACAACTGAAATTCTTTATTTGCCAAGAGTCATTCATGCAATTCACCTGTTTGGGAGCCACAGAAGGCTGTAACTTATTCTACACGGTAACAGTTGCATTGGGAGAATGTTTATGAATGGCAATACTCATATGAAGCTTAACCCTATTTTATATGCATGTTAAAGACAATGCAGTGGCCCAAATAATCAAAATGAGAGCAGCCTTTATCCAAAAGGCATCTTACTTTGGTACTGTAGGGGTGGGCAGGACCTAGATCTGCAGATGTTTTGAACATCCGCTCCCAGAAGCTTCTGTCATCATGGCCAATAGCAGAAATATTGGGTGTCGAAGCCCAGTACTTTTGGGGAGGTGTTTTCTGCCTACCCATTTTAATGAGCACTAGAGAAATAGCTTGAGTGTGGCATTGCCCCCATGGATATGGGAGGGGAGGATTGGATGGGAAGCGAGCACTTCAGAGGGACACTAAGAGTAAAGGAGTGGGACAGAAGGTGAATGCTTCGGAGGAAAGTACACAAAAGAGTTTGGCAAGAGGGATGGAGAGTTCTTATTGAATGAATCTTTTAAGGACCAAACAGACAGGTGGCTGGAGCCATTCAAGCCCAGAGGCAAAGTTCTCTGGAGGGCCTCCTGAGCTTGCTTACTATCTGAAAGGGTGTCCATCACTGGAGATTAGGGTACTTAGCCCTTTGCTATGTATGGCTTTGGGTAAACTTCCTGTTTCTGCTAGGAATTCTAATGTGATGTTGTGGATAGTTGTCATCTTTTTTCCTGGCTCAGAATTCCTAGCAGCTGCATAGAATTTAACGGTCAGCTTTCCAATGGCTACATTCCCATTCCAGAAAAACACAGACTGTGCCAAGGGTTACAGCAGAGTTTTTTTGCTGGGTAGGTGTAGCCCTTTATTCTTGCATCCAATACCCAAAGGGAGCCAGGTTACTGGACTGAAGGTTTGAGGGAGAAAGTGAGGTCAACTGAGTATCTGTTAATTTGCTTGGTTAAAAACCACACAACAGTGTATTGCATAACATGCATTTTGTTTGTTCATAATTACCCAACATGAGAAATTTCAGTAAACTTCACATTCCCAGTGACTCCAACCACTGCGTGAATACTCCTTGTACGCAGCAGTGATCCCAGCCAGATGTCAGGTGCTTGCTCCCCAGTTTTTTAAACTATACCCTCTATGTCCAGCCATTAAAGTAAGTTATTCCAGTTCAGAATAGAGCTGCATTTGACTTGACCCATAAAGACAACACTTTCAAAATTGTTCCACAGAAGGAATCAGTTCCTCTGGGATGTCCACCTGCCAGACACCTTTGCGCCCTTTCATAGGAATGGGTTCCAGCAGCCATCTTGGGTTTGAAATAACAGTCAAGTATTTCTGCTGCAGGCCTGACAGGATGGCTTTATTTTCTAATATCAAAGCTTCTTCAGGATGCAAATGTTCGGGACACTGGTATGTCTCTCTGATGTCAACGAGCCCTTTATGCAATACACAAAAAACCATTTAATTTTCTTTCTGAAAACAAAATGCTTATCAACCTATTTATAACTGATCTCATGATTCGCATGCAGGAATGTAGGAAAATGCTGTCCTTTGTCTCCAGCTTCAAAGTTGGGCCCTAGTAGAAGGAGCTGGTTTTTTGTTCTTACTCCCACCTCCTCGAAAAAAGAAAAGTGATTTGACCTGTAACTAGAAATTCTGGAGCAAGAGACCATATACCTGACAAATCATTGCAGAACCACCAGGCTATTAATACCGGTTAATCTTAGTGAGCCATTGGGTAAAATTTCCATGCTTTTCCTTGTACGTCCACCCACCCAAGTGCTAGAAATTTATTTTTATTTATTTTTGTAAAAGTGAGTTGAATATTCTGAATGTTTTCAATATCCATTCAGGGGCCAGGTTTACATCACTCATTGCTGCGTATGTCCCTGAAGGCAACCTGCTCTGATCTGCAGCAACATCTCATCATGCTATGGCATTCTGTCCACACACTCTCAAGACTTGCTGTTCTATTCCCCAGAGGTATGCTCCCACTCTATAGAGAGCACCACTTTCAGGAATGTGGGTAGGTACAGAGGTGCATGTGGAAAATACAAATGCACCATGAAGTCTGCATTTTGTGCTTCCTGGCAAAGGCCCCCACTGGAAGAACATTTAACCTGTGTCACTGTCACTCACCAGCAATAACACCTCTACCAAACTTCTCACCATCATCTAATAATGCTTCAATTTGACTCTGTATCATGCCCAGTCTACTCGTGAGGATTGCTTTCCAGGCTTCATCATCCCAATCTTTAAAAGCGATGTGGACGGCGAGGGTGCAGGCCTCATATGCAGCCAATAACGGTTGCCAGCGGGTCTCTATTGTTTTGACTTTGTTTAAAACAAAGCCAGCATAGGGTTGTCGGAAGGAAAGGCAAGCCACCTTCATTTTTCTTCAGCATCGTCACCTTCTTTGCCTTTTGTTAGCATTGCCTTTAATTTGCAAACAGAATAAAGCCAGAAGTAAGAGCAACACTTTCTCACAGCAAAGGTTCACAGTTTGGTTCATCTGCCTGTCATAAGCTATATCATAGCAATTCACAACTGCCATATGAAATTTTATGGAGCACATGAAATCACCACCATTTCAGCAAACCTTAACTTGACAAATAAAGTTGTTGCTGCTTTAGCCACCAACAATGAGATTTCAGATAGGAAACAAGCTTACTATGGAATATATCCCATAGATTTCAGTGGATTTTTCTTCAGAGTAAATGCTATATTTATGCAGCTGAAACCATCTTATCTGCATGCCCTGCTAAGGGCCCTTAACAGTAGCTTAGCACTGAGAAATTTAACAGGTGAATCTCTTCCTTGTAATAATCTTCAGGTGGAAATGAGTACTCATGTGAAGGTAGGCTAGTAATAGCACAGTATGGCATATCTCAGGGGTTTTGTGTGGTTTCTAGGTCCTTTTGAAATCACTCAAAATGGAACTTTTAGTCTTATTGGCTCCTCTCTCTGGAACTCCTTGCTAGTTGAAGTAAGGTAGGTGCTTTGTTTTTTAGCTTTTATTAGTCAGTTTTATTGGTATAACTTGAGCTTCTTCTGTACTGTTCACCACTTGGTAATTTATTTCAACTGTTAGAGTGACTTATAAATTTTGCAAATACATGAAAGTGTAAGTTTAGGGCCATTAAAGGCAAGATTCTTTGCATGTTTAGGCAAAAAAGTGACAATTCAGTGTTTCCTAGCCTGGCCAGCTACTAGCTTTTTCTATCTAAATATATATAGAAATATGCTCTGAATGTCAAATATGCTCTGAATGTCTCAATGACAGCAAACTGAACTTGGAGTTGCTTTTTCTTTATGATTGCTCTATTTCAGTTCATGGAATCTGTTCTTAAAGGGTTTCTTCTATCATGCGGCTTTTAAGTCTTAGATGGTTGACTATCTCCTGCATAGAAATACAATGCTCAAAAGGGCTCTACATCCTTGCTGTATTTCTGTTGGTTGCACTGCCTTAAATGCACTGAAACAGAGCCTGGGAAAAAATAGCCTTATTCCATTCACCTACACCTCTCCTAAGAGAGGACTAGACATGCATAGTTCCCCGTATGGATAAACTTGTCTTAATCCAACAATGGCCAACCAGATGCTGCTAGAAACCTCACAAACAGGGCCTAGGGACAGAAGTGCTCTTTCCTGATTTGGTATTTGAAGCAATACTATCTGGCTAGGTGCTCCACTTGATTGTTTTGGCTAATAACCTACCCTCTAAAACTTTGTGTGCAATCTTGTTCAAGAGTTAGTTCAACGTAAGATCAATTTATACAAGTGGCAGAATCAAGCAGCAAAGATTTTTCTAAATTGTTCTGCTTCAGAGGAGGGGTGGCCAGTGTTTGACAGTGCTGCCCCAGTAACAGATTTTAATTGTACTTTATCGTCTGTTTTCATGGCCTGTACAAACCAGAGAACTTCAACAGTGAGGGAGTATAGAAATGGCATAAACTCCCTGCACACAGAAAACTGGCATGTAACTTTTCATTTTCTATGAAAAGCAGGGATAGGAATGTTGTATTCGACCAATTTTTGCAGGGCCACAACTCCCCTCAGTGCTAGCCTGCAACGCCAGATGGGGGATGATGGGAGATGCTGTCATGAGGATAAAAGGGGGCTATGGAAGCCATCCTGGGTTCCTCCTAATAGGGAAAAACGCAGTAAGTGAAAAGTCCCATATTTCACACTGCTAAAGTAACATGCGGCGTACACAACTCCCAGCATCCCTGACCCGTGGCCGACCCGGCTGGGGATGCTAGGAGTTCACGCACCTTTTTGGGTGCAGCGATGTCGCCCTGCAGGGCCCCACCCCGGCCCTGGAGCCCCAACACCAGCTCCCATCAGCCCGGTGGCCCGGAACGGGCGCCGCCCGCAGTTCGGGACTACAGCTCCCAGCATGCGCGGGCCTCCTGGCCGGGCGGGGCCGGGAGTCGTAGGCTGCAGCTGCCGGGCAGGCCCGGGGTGGGCCGCGGCGCTTCCCCTTACCTCAGGCGGCCGAGCTGGCGAGCGGCCTGGCCTGGCAGCTCTTCGCTGCGCCGCGGCCTCCGCCTGGGCGGGGATCCGGGGCGGGCGGCGCAGTCGCGCACGGCGGCTCTTCCCCCGACGCGGAGGGCCGGCCGAGCGGGGCGGTGCCGGGCGGCCCTCGGGGGCCTTCGCGCCCGGCCTCGCGCCGGCGCTGCGAGGGGGTCGGGCGGGCTCTTCGGGGGCGCAGGCCGCCCGGGGCCGGTCCCCGCGGTCCCGCCGCAGACTCTCGGTCCGCCCTACCTCACAGGGTCGTTGTTGTGGCACAAGGCGGAGAGCCGCGGCAGGCGGAAGCTGGGCGCCACGTTGAGTGCTGTTGAGCAGGGAAGGGCGCGATAGAAACCAGATGCAGCAATAATGGCAGGGCAGGCTGCATGAGCGGGGTTAACTCTGAGCGAGGCGAAGGGCATCTGCTCTGTTTTCTTCACAACAGCCCAGCAAGGTAGGCTGGGCTGAGGGGTTGTCGTTGGCGCAGGGCGGGAGCCGAGCTGGTCCAGCATCTCCCCAGGGCTGGGCGGCTGCGGCCGGCCCGCCGTCACCCCGCACGCTTCACGGGGCAGGGATGCTTCCAGTCGTGCCCCCGAAGGCACCCAAGCAGGAGGGATGTGGGGCTGATCCCTTAGTCCTGGCCTGGCGGTCCCCACTAGGCAAGGCTAGCTGGGCTCCAGTGCCAACAACAACTAGACCTTGGTGACTTTTTCACAAACAAGGGTATACATAAACATCCATGTTAACATCTGGGAAAGCCTGACCCAAACATGCCGGTCCTTTGCCAGTGACCCTGCTCTTGCCTGCTTTCATTTAAGGGCTAACATTGTTGATAATACTTAGTATTTATTATCATGCTCCGAGTATTCCAAAAATAGAGCCAGAGGGTCAATACCAAATTGTGGCTTTAAAAAAAACCCTTGCAGATCTAAATAAAAGTTTCTGTTGAATATACAGTGCAATCTATTTGTTTTATTCTTTTTACATTTCTTAAAAACTACCCCATTCTGTCAGCATGTACTCATTTTTGTAAAAATTGAATTTCTGCTTACATCTGTGTGTGATGCTAAAACAATGCTTAATATTTATCGAGGCTCAGATGATCTGAGTACTGTGTGCTTTTTGTACTTGATCTTTTCCTGATTGAATCTCCAGCAGAAATCCAGAATCAAAACTAGGTCAAGTTATTCACTGCTATGTTATGACATATGTCTGATTTCTTAAGTGAATACCAGGATGTGATGCTCTCCCTGAAGTTGGAAAGTGTGTTTTCAGTGATTTAAGGGAAGAAAATAATCTTCTAAAAGTCATCAGTTACTCATAGCCTTCCTTTAGCTTTATTATGAATCTCTTAATTCTCTTCTTAACTACAGGAGGACCACAGAAAATTAATGCTAACACCGGGCTTATAGTTAAACATATACCTCTCTAAAGCATCCTGGGTAGATTAGCTTTGCAGGATAAGGGAGAATGGAATGAGCTAGTGCTGGCAGTTTCTTTAGTCCTGATGTCATCCCACAACCCCACTGGGCAGGTATTTTAACCAAATCTTCTAAATCTTTCTGTCCAGCTTGTTGATCAAAAGGTCCATATCCTGGTGTGTGCCTGTCCAAAACACAGAACAGGGAAAGGTTTTCTTTTAAAGGATTTATTCTTGAGACTAACCAGCTGCCAACGAATTGTTCCAGATAATGCACCTGAGCAGTCCTTGGTTGGCACTATATTTGCCCTCCCGCCCCTTGAGATCAGCAGTAGGGGCTCTCCTCTGGGAGCCTTCAGTGAGAGACATCAGGAAGCAAAGTACCCGGAGGAGGGCCTTCTCTGCAGTGGCTCACCATCTGTGGAATGCGCTCCCCAGAGAGGTCCGCCTGGCGCCGTCATTATTTGTTTTTTGGCGCCAAGCCTTTTTATTGAAACAATATTTTAATAATCTTTAATATTTATAGTTTTAATTATGCAGCCAGTGTGTTTCCAAGTTTTAATTGTAATTGTAATTCTATTTGTTTTATTTATTTGTGTTGTGAGCCGTCCCGAGGCTGTGTAGCAATGGGGACGGCATATAAAAACTTTGAATAAATAAATAAATAAAGGGTTACACATAATGCAGGCAACATTTTCCAATAGGTTACAGAAGTAAAAAGTTACAGTGGCATGATCTTTCCTACTTACATACCAAAGAAGATGCTCCAAAGGGGTGGGCTGGCGTGAATTGCCCTTTCTTTGAGCTGCTGTTATCTGTCAAGTGCCAACTAGCTTTTCTGGTATGGTGCCTGGTCAGTGTCAGCTGCATTTCAAGGATACATTCATGCTGATTGCTGGAAAAGAGGGTTTTTCTCTGGCCTGGTTATGTGTCAATAACTGAATGATCATACTTGTGTAAGTTATACCTATTGATTTGTACATCACATTTGCCTTGCCTGGGTTGGTAAGAGCCTCCATTTGTGGTAGCTGGGAATGGGCCATGAAAGTTTGGACCATTCATCTCTAAATTGAATGAATATTGGAATTTAAATAAATAAATATTTATTTATTTATTTAAAACATTTTAACATTTTATTAAAAGGAAGTGTTCATATTCCATCTTAATTATTCTACTCTTGCACTATAATTGTCTCCACATTTCCTATAACATTCATATAAAGGTGGCACTTCTCCAATACATGTGTATATCTTTGTGTTTCATTTTTAAGCATTATCAATGTCATTTGCTGTTCTGCAGTGTTGGCTTCAGGGCTCTAATTAGTGTTCTCAACACAGATGATCATTGTGTGTAGTTAATGAAAAGAGAGCAGTCAAATTCATATTGGGAACTAGGTGCAGAAAGGCATTGGATAATATTTATTTATTTATTTAGACAGCTTATATACTGCCCCCCATTGCATAAGCCTCGGGGCGGCTTACAGTCATTAAAATCCCGCATAAAATACAAAAAAATTCATCAAATAAATAAAATGCATAAGATAAAATAGTGGAAACAGCCTGGTCAATTTAAAATCAACAAATACATCATTAGCAGTTAAAATAGCTTTTAAATAAAAAGGTCTTGGCCTGGTGCCGAAAAACAAATAACGACCGCGCCAGGCAGACCTCTCTGGGGAGCACATTCCATAGGTTGGGCGCCACCGCAGAGAAAGCCCTCCTCCAAGTAGTCACCCTCCTAATACCCTTCACAGAGGGTTCCCGGAGAAGGACCTCTGCCACAGATCTCAGGGGGTGGGAGGGCATATATGGATGCAGGCACTCCTTTAGGTAACCAGGACCTAAGCCATTCAGGGCTTTGTAGGTGATAACCAGCACCTTGAATTGGGCCCGGACTTCAGTGGGGAGCCAGTGGAGCTGACGGAGGACTGGGGTTATATGAGAACAACGCCCAGTCCCCGTCAGCAGCCCTCCAGCTCTATTTTGCACCACTTGAAGTATCCGGACCGTCTTCAAGGGCAGCCCCACATAGAGCGCATTGCAGAAGTCTAATCGGGAAGTGACCAATGCGTGTGTCACAGTCGCCAGGCAGTCGTTCTCCAGGTAGGGACGCAGCTGGTGGATCAGCCAAAGCTGAAGGAAAGCGCTCCTTGCCACCGCTGTCACTTGAGCTTCCAATGATAGCTCTGGGTCGAGGAGCACTCCCAAGCTGCATCTTAATATCAGAAGATTAAGATGGAGAGAGAGTTGTATATTCAGGTTATGCATTTCAACACACACAAAACACTTCTGTGTAAGCACTTGAGTACACTGATTACCTTCAGATCTATTTTCCTCTCTTTGAAATGTTTTATTAGGAATGCTTGCCTCTTCATATTTTTTCCTCTGTGCAAAGCCAGGAAAATACCATGGAACCAGCTGGGTGACTTTGGGCCAGTCATGGAAAAGTAGCCCAACCTACTTCACAAGGTTGTTACTATAGGAATAAGATTAAGAGTAGCAGGAGGAGAATGATGTAAGCCACTTTGATTTTGTTGTAAGAAAAAAGCAGGATACAAATGAAATAAATAAAATTCAAGATCTTTGTATTTGGATGGTTTTAAAACTCTTTCAAACAGGTTTACAATTTGTGGCATAGATCTATCCAGGGAGAATGTGCTCATGGCAGGAAAACACTTGTGGAAGACAGCAAAGAATAAAGGAAAGGCAGCTTGTGGGGTGGGATTTAGGATGATCCCAAAAAGAGGTGATTGGAGTTTTGGGAAAAGGGTACTCAGGGTTACTGTGACAGCTAAAGGAAAACTTACTACTTCAGAGGCAGATATCTCTGGGTTTAAAAAAAAGTTTGATTGAAATAGCAGGCAAGGACTACCTGTATAAAGGGCTGGTTGTGTGCTTCCTAAGAACAGAGTAAAGTAATGAACCACCACATACATACCCAAGCTTTTCTATTTGGGCCATTTCTCCCACAAGTGACCTTCAAAGATTGTAAACTTTATCTCCAGATAATTTACCAGGTTAAGGAGAAAATCGAACTTTACAAACCCAAATAATCTTACGCTGTAAAAGAAGCTCGGGTATTTTGCCTTTGTTCCTATTGATTTGAAGAAGAAAGTTGAGTTAAACTGTTTCATATGGCTAAGATCAGAATTATTTCTTCTCCCTGGCCTTCCGCTAGGTGGCCCCAGAATACACATAACAGAGAAGAGTATGCAGTTCCTTCTCGATCCAGCGATCAGAAATATGTTCTCATCGCTTCCTACTCATTACGTCCTTGTTCTCAGCCACCAAACAGCCCTTCTCATGTTTTGCGCTCCAATCGTTTTTTGTTTTTTAAGTTAAGGTATTTTTAGTTCACCTTTCAGCAGTCATATCACTGCTTGCCTTGCTTTAAAGTACAGCATAGCTAGGTAGAAGTAGTTGAACCCTCCCTTCCAGACCCCCATCTCCCCTTCCCCTGTTTATTAAATTCTTGCCATTTTTATCTTGCTCTGGCATCTACACCAGAAATTTGTAGGCACTCCTGACTCAGAGGCAAGAGTTCGGCTCCCTCTTGCCAGTCCCACACCTGCTGTGCTTTCTATTCCCCGACTGATTGCTTTCCAGGGAATTGTTATGACCTGGGTCAG